AAAAGAAAGAAGTGAAGCTGGGCTTGGAGGCAAGGATTCTGAAGCTCTCTCTGACATACTTTGGACATGTCGCAAGGAGGGATCAGTCCTTGGAGAAGGATGTCATGCTTGGGAGGGTTGGAGGGACAGCGCAGGAGGGGAAGACCCTCTATGAGAGGGATTGACTCAGTGACTAGGGTAATGGGGGTAGGTGTGTCAGAGACGGTACAGTTGACTCAGGATAGAAGAGGGTTCAGAGCTGTTGTACATAGGGTCGCTATGAGTTGTAAGCGACTTGACGGCACAGAACAAAAAGAAGGACTGGAAAATGAGGGTGGTTGTTGTTGTTATGTGCTGTCGAAAATGAGGGTAGAAGGGAAATAATTTATATTCCCAAAATAACAGATGATATAAAATCAATTGCCTCATGGTAACCCCACTCACCACTGGGCCAATTGGCAGCACCATGATCGATGGAGAAGAAATTGAGTTTATTAACAATTACAGCTTGTTCAGCTCCACAATCAATACTCTCAGCATGAGCAGGCAGGAAATCAAAAGACGAATTGCATTGGGGAAATCTGCTGTCAGGGACCTCTCCAGAGTACTGAAGAGCAACAATGTCATTCTACAGACTAAGATATGCCTAATCCAGGCCATTGTCTTTGCAATTACTTGTTATGCTTCAGAGAGTTGGGCAATGACTACGAATGACAGAAGAAGAATCAATGTTTTCAAATTGTGGAGCTGGAGAAGAGTCTTGAACATATCATGGAATGTCAAGAAAGGAAATATGTCAGTCTTGGTGAGGGTGAAACCAAATTTCTCCTTGGAGGCTAGGATTTTGAAGCTCTGTCTCACACACTTTGAGCACGTGGGCACCTTGTAAAAGTACATCATGCTTGGAAGGGTGGAGGGACCGTGCACGAGAGGAAGACTCTGGATGAGATGGATTGATACGGCATCTGGAACAATGGGGGTTGGTATGTCGGAATCATTGAGATTGGTTCAAGACAGAGAAGCCGTCAGAGCTGCTGTACATAGGGTCACTATGGGTTGCAGGCGACTCGATGGCACATAACAACAATATTGTGGCCCCATGTGTGTCAGAGTAGAACCAAACTCTGGCAAGTTCCCAGTGGCTGGTTTATTTCAGAAGTAGGTTTCCCACCATGTCTTTTTTCCAAGGTGCGTCGCTTTGGGGGTTTTTTCCCCATCAAGGCTTATAAATCCTACTGCTTTTTTCATATAATGATTCCTAGATACTTTGTTTTATGACATTAATTATTCATTGATTAATAGAATTAACTAGTCACAATGTCTAACCAACCTGAGGTGCATCTTGGTGGATTCTAATTGCCCAGCTTTTGTTTTGCAGTGAGCCTGTTACCTATCTGACTCACCTGGGAACTCCATTGTGTCTATATCAGCTTCTCCAAGATCTTTGCTAAGAGCTGAAGGAAGTGAACAGGTGTGAGCCATGCAGATGCCATGGAGCAAGTGCCCCAGGCAAAAGGAGTACAGACGCCTGAGGCAGGACATGTGTGTGATGTTCTCGGAAATGAACGAGAAGGAGTGGCTGAACCAGAGTTAGGCTAAAGGAACAGGCATGGAGAGAGAGCAGAACAACCCTTCAGTGAACAGGTGTGCCTGGGGTCACAAAGCAAAGCAGGTTGGCAGACCTGAGGGGGAAGGAAAGCCAATTAATCAGATATGACTATCACAGGAGGAGAGTGCCTCCTCATTCTCCAGTAAAGCATCTGGTGGATTTGAACCATACGCCTTCGGGATTGCAGTGCAGCTTCTTGCCACTAGGCCACAAGGACAACATTTCTAGTTAGCTCTATCTTTAGAAACGGAACGGTTTCACAGAAAATGAATGTTGGAGGAGGTGTTTATGTTCTTGCTGTTTTTTATTACTTTGGGACAGAGAAAAGAAGACTCCTCGCCCTTAGAGAACACTGTCCCTTTGGGGAGACACTGCAGCCTCTCTTCCTTATAAACATTCAGCTCTCAAGGGTTAACTCTTGAGGCACTGGAATAATTTTATCATCCCATAACAATCCCTCCCTCGAACTTAGGACAGGATATTACCTCTACAGGCAATTTTTCTTCCAGATTTGGGTAGAGGGCCAAGGGGTGCCTGGTCAGACTGGCTTCAACGTCCTCAACGAATGCCTTCTGTGCCCGCTGGGCTGCCGAGAGCCGGGAAGTCAGATCTCCCTTGGGCAGCTTGGGCTTCCTTGTCTTTGGGGGCTGGGGAACTCTGTGGTAAATCAGGGGAAGGTAGGCCTCGTTGGGGGCCTTTGTGATCAGATCTTGGCTGGGAGGACACCCTTCTCTGAAGTCATCCAACCCTTCCCTCACAAATATCCAGTGTTGGCTGTTGAGGGAGGGAGGGAACTTCAGCTTGTTCCTCTGCTTTGGAAAACACCTGAAAGTTGGATTCTCTTTGTACCTAGAAGACAACGAGTTTGGTTATACGAATCGCAAGGACTGGGATGGGAAATGATTGTATTAGTTTGGCTGCCATATTTTGGGGGGGGGGGGAGAGGAAGAGGTTAGAAGAAGTGAGTCCATAGAAAGAAAGTCAAGTTAGGCCAACGTTTCATTTAAGGGCACATTACCATCGGTGTACCCCAAACTCTTCTCTGGTCTACCTTACCCAAATTTTCTAGATGATGTAAACAGTTAATGTGCTTGGCTGCGAATGCAATGGGTGGAGGTTTAAATCCACCCAGAGGGATTTCAGAAGAAAAGCCTGGTAAACAAACCACTCTAGAAAAATCTGCTACTGAAGCTCCTATGGAGACAGTTCTGCTTCAGCACATAGGGGGTTGTTTTTAATCTAAATTGACTCGCAGAGTCTCAGCTTGATCCCATTACCATTAAGCTGACTCTGAAGGCGTATCAGAGGCTGTAAGTTGCACCAGGAGGGGAGGCCCCACCTTTCCACCACAGAGCAGATGGTGCATTCAAACGGTGTACTTTGAGGCTGGAACCACAACTCCCTACCCCCTAGCTCATCAAAACACTTCACACAGCAACTAGTTTTTTCAAATCTCCACATCATATTCACATAGCTCTCCCTTGCACATGTAAAACCATTTAATTGTGTTTGAAATGTGTCCTTTCATTTGTACACATCCTTTAACACTTATATTTTGTATCCAAATGGTTCTTTATGTCTTTCTGGTTTTCCCTTATTTCCCCAAATCTTGTATTTTAAAGATTCATCTGTTACTATATGTGAATATAATCCATTACCTCCAATTACTATTTCTACATTTCATTCTTTTGGTGACGGCTGCTCAAGCTGCCACCCTCCAGGGGCACTTTCTTTAGTTCTTTTCATTCTTATGGTGATGTAGATGAGTGTTTACAAAGAAAACCTATTCTGAACTCAATAATTCATTCACCTTTTTCCATGCCACGATTGCAATCCCCACAATGAAACAGCACTCATCCCCTTTCCTCCCTGTGTTTAACATTTCCATCCATCCTCCCTATTCTTTCCTGCCTTTTGAAGTTTCGCCCTAGGCAAATGCTGCCCTCTTGATTTTGTAAGGATGATTGTGTGAAGGAGTATGTACCTGGTTGGTATTATTGTTCACTTTAAACATTTATCTATTGTTTGGCTAAAAGCTGAGTCACAAATGTGAATAAAGTTCTTAGGTTTGAGGGGTGACTAGAAGTCCATAGGGGGAGCTTGGTCTTTTTTCCTATGACTTTGAACTGTGTTCCACATTCTTACCAGCAAAATACAACAGTAGAGTGGGAAGAACCTAGATCCTGGTGGTAGTTTCTTGTTAGCTATCATTAAAGTGGCCCTTTCATTTAATCTCTGCAGGCCTCAGTGCTCCTAAACTGAGAAGTCTAACCAGTTCAGAGGTTGTGCATTGAAGTCTAGCAGCTGAACCCAACTAAAAAACCTGTCATGTGGTTCTTTTTGGGTTCCAATAATGAATCTAAGAATTGAAAGGACCATGATGTTGTCCTCTTGCATAATTCTGACTCATGGTGACCCCGTAGGACAAGGTAGAATTGCCTCATAGTTTCCTGGATTATAATCTTTATGAGAAGGAGCCCTGGTGGAGCAGTGGTAAAAGTGCTCAGCAGCAACTGAAAGGTTGGTGGTTCAAAGCTATCAATCATTCCAAGGAATAAAGATATTGCAGTCTGCTTCTAAAAATGACTCACTCACTGATTACCTTTGAGTTGAAGCTGATTAATAGCTGACTCTCTTTAGGATTTCTGAGGCTGTAGACTGCACGGGAGGAGACTGTCCATCTTTCTCCTGCAAAACTTATGGTAGATTAGAGCCACCAGAGAGGTGTGGCCTTTGTATTAGCAGTGCAACTGCCTACAGAACAGGCCACCAGGGTTTTCTCAGGAAAGATTACAGCCCTGGAAAGACTATAGGATGATTGTTTTTGTTTTTTACCTCAGCATTTCTTTCCTTTGTTTTGACTTCTCTACATCTAGCACCACTGTACTAAAGGGAATTAGCTGACACAGAAGAATTTCATGAAACAAGTATGAGAAAGAGTCTGTGGAGATGAAGGAAGAAGTTCAAGCTGCTCTGAAGGAATTTGCAAAAAACAAGGCCTCAGGAACTGGTGGCATACCAACTGACATACTTCAACAAACAGATGCTGACCTGGATATGCTTACAAAGTTGTGCCAAGAAATCTGGAGAACAGCCAGCTGGCCCACCGACTGGAAAAGATCTATATTTGTTCCCATTCCAAAGAAAGATGTCCCAATAAAGTGCGGAAATTGTCGAACAATAACATTAATATTACATGCAAGCAAGATTCTGCTAAAAATTATTCAAAAATAACTGGAACAGCACATCAACAGAGAACTTCCAGAAGTGCAGGCTGGGTTTAGAAGAGGCCGTGGCACGTAAGGATATTGTAGCTAATGTTAGATGGATCTTGAGTGAAAGCAGAGAGTACCAGAGGAATGTCTATCTGTGTTTCATTGACTATGCAAAGGCATTTGACTATGTGGATCACAACAAACTGTTGCTAATCCTGAGAAGATTGGGAGTCCCAGAATACTTGATTGTGCTTATGCAAAACCTATATTTGGGCCATGAGGCAGTCATTTGAACAGAGCAAGGAAACACTGCATGGTTTGAAATTGGAAAGGGTATACAACTAGGATGTGTCCTATCTCCATACATTTTAAATCTATATGCAGAACAGATCATCCAGGCAGCTGGGCTCTATTAGGAGGAATGTAGCATCAGGACTAGAGGAAGACTCGTCAGTAATCTGCCTTATGCAGGTGAAACAACTTTGCTTGCTGAAACTGAGGGGGACCTGAAGTACTTGCAGCAGAAGGTCAAGAAAGGATTGTAGCCTTAAATATGAATTGAAGCTCAACATCAAGAAGACAAAGTTCTCACCACTGGGTTGATTGGCAGCATCATGATAAATGGTGAAGAGATTGAGATTGTTAACAGCTTTGGTTTGCTTGGCTCCACAATCAACACTCTTAGTACCAGAGACCAGGAAATCAAAAGACAAATTGCAATGGGAAAGTCTGCTGTCAGGGACTTCTCCAGAATACTGATGAGCAACGACATCAGTCTGGAGACTAAAGTGCACCTGATCCAGACCATGGTCTTTTCAATTACTTGCTATGCATCAGAAAACTGGACAATGACTAGGGATGATAGATGTAGAATTGATGCTTTGGTGCTGTAGTGCTGGAGAAGAGTATTGGATATACTGTGGACTACTAGGGGGGAAAAAACAGGTTCAACCTAGAGAGAGTGAAACCAGGCTGCTCCTTGGAGGCAAGGATTCTGAGGCTTCGTCTGACATACTTTGGATATGTTGCAAGGAGTGACCAGTCCTTGGAGAGGGATATTATGCTTGGAAGGGTGGAGGGACAGCGCAAGAGAGGAAGGCCCTTGATGAGATGGATTAATTCAATGACTAGGGTAATGGGAGTAGGTATGTCTGAGACAATAAGGTTGGCACAGGACAGAGCAGGGTATATAGGTTTGCTTTCAGTCACAAGTGACTAGATGGCACATAGCCACAACAATAATGTTCTTAATTTAATTTTCAGAGCCTCATCTGACATCCATTTTGATCTTTCTTCCCTGTCTTTATAATGACCTTTTGTTGTTTTCCTGGCGATGTGCATCATGATGTCCTCCCACAAATCATTTGATCTTTGATTATTAGTCATCAATGCCTCAAATCTATTTTTAAGACAGTTTTTAAATTCCGTTGAGAAAGACAATGGAAGGTCAGCTATGAGTTGGTTGCATCTCAACAATAGTTAGTTTGAGAGCTTTCAATATATATGCAAGAGGTAGCTGGGTGGTTAATGGTCAACATAACTCATGCAGCTAATGGAAAAGGTTGTAAACTTGGGTCAACTCAGAAGCTTCTAAAAGGAAAAGCCTGGCCATTTACTTGCCAAATGTCTGTCCTTTTGACAACCCTATGAAATAAATTCTACTCTGGTACCTATCAGGTCATCATGAATTAGAACTCGCTTGAGAGCAACTGGTTCCTCCAGACTGTTCAATTTAAAACTCACAACAATTCCATTAAGCTGGTTTCAATTGTCCCCATTTTACAGTTAAGGAAACTGAGCCCAGATGGAACATCTAACTTGCCCAATTGGCCTTTGATGCCAGCTTTTCTGATTCTAGAGATTGGAATCTTAACACCACCACATTCTGTTGCCAAGAAAGCCAAATGCCATCCTAATAAACAGCCAAAGAATCCGCATAGGCAAAAGCCTGACACTCCTGCCCACAGCTAGGGTATTAACCGTCCAAAGCAAGAGCTGACCTCTCAAGTATCTGAGGCACACTTCCCGAAACAGGGCTGGGCTTGGCCACAGTCACCTGCTGGATGACTAGAGGCTCCAGGTGTTCTGGACCCTCAAACTCCATTAAGGGATCCAGGCGTCTTGGCTACCCAGTGAAACAGTTGTGGTTGCTGCTGCTGGGGCTGCTGCTGCTGCTATGTGCTGTTGAGTTGAAATCGACTCTTCCCGAGACTCCAGTGGGGTTTCAGAGGCTATAAATCGCAGGATGCTCATCTCTCTCCCATGGATGGAACAATTACCTAACCCAGAAGAACAGGAATAGAGAGCTCTGGTGGCTTAGTGGTAAGGAGCTGTCTGACTAATCCAAAGGCACATGATTTGAATCCACCAGCTGCTCAGCAGGAGAAAGATGGGCAAGATCTCCTCCTGTGCTATTAACGGCCTCTGAGAACCCAATGGAGGGTCAGCTATGAGTGGTTTCAATGCAATGGTACAAAACAACATACAAAAAGGGAAAGTATGTCTAAGCTGGGGCCCTCCCAGTCCTAAATTAAACCAGCCTCTACAACTTCCCATCCGGAATGAGAATGTTGGGAGGCTAGCAGAAGCAAAAGGCTCTCTACGACGAGAAGGGGATTGCCCTGTTATTTTATAACGAATATAGTTATTTTGGTGGAAGGAGCATCTGGGAGGAGCTGCAGGCCGCTCCTCCCGCCGAGGGGTCCCCGCCCCTCGCGCCGTCGCCCGGGATCCAGCGCCCCCGTGTGGCCCCGTGGTGCGCGCGCTCGGCCTGGCGCGGCGTGCTTACCAAGGCCTGCGGGTCGCGCTCAGGGGCGCCGGGACGAGGTCCACCGGCCGGAACCGTCGCAGGTCGGCCATAGTCCCTCATAGAATGCCGGGCTCTGGACGAAGCTTGCGGGGGTGTGTGTACTGACCAGCAGATATGGTCGCTAGGAGACCACACAGCCACGCGTTCTGCCCGCGCGTTCTGCCTCCACCCGCCTCGATTGCGCGCCCCTGCGCAGTGCCCACCCAGACCATCCAGAGGCCTCACCTCCCAGGCAAGGGTGGGCCTGTGGTTTGGGGAAGGAAAAAGGATACAGCCCTACGTTTCATTCTCTGACTCTTTTATAAAGTGGTGTTCATCTTCTTCCCATTAAAACTGTACACACACACACACACACTTTTTGGTTGGTCATTACTCTTTTTAAAAATGTTTGTTGAAGGAAAGAAAAATAGGAGGGGAGAATTGAGATAAACAGGGTGGGGGGAAGGGAGAGAAAAAAAGGAATAGACTGCATTCTAATTGTGGGAAAACTTTTTAGCACAAAGCTTTTTTCCTGGAGGTCCTGGGACTCCCTAACCTTATAGCTCTGTAAACCTAAGGCAGGGGATTTCTGTCCAGCCACCATCAGAGTCCTTTGCAATACAGTGCTGTGCATCGGAGAGCTGGACAATGACTAAGGATGACAGAACAGTCAATGCCTTTGAGTTGTACTGGAGAAGAATCTTGAACATACCATGGACCGCCAAGAAAACAGAAAGGTCATCTTGGAGAGGGTGACACCAAGTCTTTCCTTGGAGTCTAGGATTTTGGAGCTCCGTCTCACATACTTTGGGCACATGGCCAGAAGAGACCAGTGCTTGGAAAAACACATCATGCTCCGAAGGGTGGAGAGACAGCACAGGAGAGGAAGACCTCTGTTGAAATGGATTGATACAGTGATTAGGGCAGTGGGGGTAGGTGTGTTGGCATCAGTGAGACGGGCTCAGGATAGGGCAGTCTTCAGAATTGCTGTGGGTCACAGACGACTAGACGGCACATGACAACCACAACAACCATCAGAGTCCCTTTTAGTTCTTTCATTAGGTGATTTTTTTAGCCTCGATCCACTTCAGACAGTGAAAAGACAGACTGCCTGTGGCCACCTTCCGGCTCTTCTGAGTGTTGGTATACTTGTGCTGACAGCGCAATTCCTTACCACTCAGCCATCATGGAGCTGCTGACCCAGTTGTACATGGTTCTGTTCCATCAGTTGCTCCGCAAGAGAAGGATGGGCAATCTCCTCACATGGGATTTATTGACTCTGAAAACCTCTTGGAGGGTCAGCTATGGGTCACTTCTGACTCAACTATAAACAACAACAACAACTGCTTCTAGAGGAAACAACAACAAGACCTTCCCCTGGCCTAAAATTACTGTAGTAGTTAATTTCTAACTGCTTTGCTGAGATTCTTTTCATAGTCTTTCGCTAGCCTCTCATTTTCAACTTTTATCCAAACAAATTCGCTTTCTAACTGGGAATATGAATATTCCTAGTATTAAGTATCTGTATCATCAAAATACTCCTTGGAGGCAAGGATTCTGGGGCTTCGTCTGACATACTTTGGACATGTTGCAAGGAGAGATAGGTCTTTGGAGAGGGACATCATGCTGGGTAGAGTGGAGGGACAGCGCAGGAGGGGAAGACCCTCTATGAGGTGGATTGATTCAGTGACTGGGTTAATTGGGTGGGTGTATCAAAGGCAATGCGATTGGCACAGGATAGAGCAGGGTTTAGGGCTGTTGTACATAGGGTCGCTATGAGTCGCAGACGACTCGACGGCACATAACAACAACAAACAATCATCAAAAATCCGCTAGCAGTGCTAGTTCTAGCATCTTCATATTTGCTGTGTGTGTTCAGGGCTCTATTCTGTGGTAGAGTGGAGAGCTTGGCAGTCAGCTAAGTTGCAGCTTGTCTGTCCTACTTATATAATTATGTAGTCCTGGCAAGTGACTCAAACATGTTTAGCTTCTTTGAAAATGGAGAACTAACAGTATCCTGCTGTAAATCTGCTACAGAAGACCTCTCCAATGTTTTAAAACACAAACCTGTCGCTGATGACTAAGGTGCCCCTGACCTAAGTCATGAGTTTTTCAGTTGCATCATGTGTCTGTGAAAGGTGGACAATATTAAAGGTAGACAAAAGAGGATTGATGCTTTCAAATTATGATGTGGGTGAAAAAGAATGAATATGTCATGGACTGACAGAAGAAGACTTGCAAGAAGTATAACCAAGAGGGACCTTAAAAGTGAGGATGGTGAGACTTGTAGCTGACTTTGGATGTGTCATCAGAGAAAAACACTTGCAAAAGAAGGATACCATGTTTGGTAAAGCAGAAGGTCAGCAGAAATGGACCCTAAATGAGAGGAATTTGAACTCAAATGATGGGTTAAAATATACCAGGTGCAGGATGGTGTGTTTGGATGATGTAGGATCCAGCAGCATTTTCTCCTGATAAACATAAGGTCATCACGAATTGGAACATCATCACCAAACAATGACGCAAACAGCCAGCTAGATTGCAACGTCATGGTCCTGAGGTCATTGGCTCAACCAGGCATGCCTTTTTAATTGCTAAACCTTGGGGAGTGGAGTAGTCCCAGAGGAGTGACTAGGGCAGTCAGGGCACAGGAGTCACTGCCGATTACTCATAATAGTGGATGTTTACCAATCAATATGGCATTTTGAGTCCATAGAGAGTTAAGCTGCTAACCCAAGGCCATGCCTTCTCTGGTTCTTTGGATCCATGCATGAGCTTTGAGGAAGAAAGATAGTCGATATTCTTCCATGTGATTTTACAGAAACTCACTGGAGGTTCAGCTTTGGTTGGGTTCATTCTCACTCAGTGACAATGAGGAGTTTTCTTGTTTGTAAAACATACTGCCTCTTCTTCCCCCTCTTCCTCTTCTTCGTCTTGTTGGGTGCTGTACAGTCAAGTACGACCCATCATGACCCTATAGACCTTAACCCTGTCCTATCCTGTGCCATCCTCACAATTTCTGACACACTCGAGCCATGGCAGCAGTCGCTGTGTCAATCCATCTGATTGTGGGTCTTCCTCTGTTTAGACATCCCTCCACGTTTCCAAGCATGCTGTCCTTTCCCAAGGAATAGCCTCTCCTAGTAATGCCCAAAGTGTGTGAGATAAATCTTTATCATTGCCTCAAGGAGCATTCTGGATGCACTTTCTCTAAGACATATTTGTTTGTTCTTTTGTAAGTCCATGGGGGGTGTGAGTACCATGCTAACCAACAGAAGAATCAAAGCCTTTGAATTGTGGTGTTAGCAAAGCTAGTTTTTGTTATGTGCCATCGAGTAGCTTGTGACTCATAGCATCCTGTGTACAACATCTCTGAACCCTCTTCTATCTTGAGCCAATTCCATTGTCTCCAACACCCCTCCTTGATTATCCCAATCACTGAGTCAATCCATCTCATCCAGTCTTCCTTTTTTGTGCTTTCTCTCCACTCTTCAAAGCATAATGTCCTTCTCCAAGGGCATTACAAATAAAACTGAAGGAATCTTGCCATCTCTAGTGGATGGTGCTTTATCCATCAGGCCATTAGATTTGAGGAGATGACATAGGAATCTGCAATAGGCTGCTGTTGTTATGGACAATCGCTGACCCTCCAGGCTGTTATGATTGTGTACTGTTGAGTTGGAACCAAGAGATAGCTGACCTTTTCAGAAGCAGTAAATCACACTTGAGGAGATAGTCCATTTTGGTCCCTCGGAGCAGGTGGTGGATTCAAACCATGTGCCTTTGGGTTGGCAGCACAGCTCCTTACCACTAGTCTACCCTGTTCAAAAGATGATGGTGGCATTTCTGCTGGTGTTTTTCACAGAATCGTGCATCATAAAGAGTGGACAAGATGTGGGGATACATTACTGATGGGATTATACTCCTCAAGGTGATCATGGAGAACAATCTGTCAGGACAGTAGTCAAGTCCACAGGGTGCCTTAAACTGTCTGTCCTTGGATTAACACCTTATCCTGCTCTGTTCTGATACACCTCCAGGGGCTGGGTGGAAGGCACTGATAGATTAGGAACAGGGGAAAAAAACATAAAAATATTTCTTTCATTAGAAGCCATTTATATTTCTTTCAGCTTCCATTCCGGTACCTGCCACTTTCTGTGTAGAGATGATATGTGCTTTTTGCTATTGTTCATGTTTCAGTGTTTGGCTCTCAACTCTTCTATCACTTCTATAAAATTAAATTCGCTCATTTTGTTTTATTTAAGGACAGTGGTTTTCCTGGTTCGACCAGGCTAAGACCCTGACATGTTACTTGTGACCCACTGTTTCCACTGTTGAGTATAGGAATCCATCATTGTTCTCACCCATAAGGTAAGTGGTGTGAGGCTATTTGTTCCAGTGTTGTTAGTAGTAGCAGGGGTGAGTTGAGGGCAATCATTTTTTGCACCTCCCTCTTTGTGGTATAGATGGATTATTCTCATTTTATAAATGGAGAAGTTAAAATGTGTTTTATCCATCCATCCTGGTGTTACTTCAAACATAATTAACTCCTTTTAAAAAGTTGTTTACTATATTTGATAGTGATTATTTAAGCCTTATCACAATGACACAGAAACATCTGTTTAAATTGAATTGAACCTTTGTCTTCACAGGTCATAATGTCAAAGATGCAATTAAAAGATAACAAATATGCATTAATGGCTTATGAGACTCATTAGACTGGTGTCTAATGACATGAAATAATTGGGATAATTATTCAAGCTCCTGAGAACATCTAGTAGGAAAACACATCTTCACCCAGAGTTCCATCCTGAGTCACTTGGAAAAAAATTTGAATCATAAAACTGTGACTAAGGCGAAGATGCTTTTCAATCACAACCCAACTTGCTTATCACAACTTTCCTTTTTTTTTAATGTCTATTTGTGCTTTATTGAACATGTAAAGGCATTGGAATGTGTGAATCATAATAAATTATGGCTAACATTGAGAAGAATGGAAATCCCCAAACTCTTAATTGTGTTCCTACGAAACCTGTATGTAGACCAAAAAGCTGTTGTGTGAAGAAAGCAA